CCGGGCCGCGAGAGTTGAGGCTCAGGTGTGAAATGTATAGTTTTCAGGGTTTTAATCGGTTTTCAGCGTTATTTTGTTATCATTTTTATCGTTTACTCGGTTTTCCTTGGTCTTTTCACGTGTGTTATGAATAAATCTTTTTTTCGGTACCAGTACTAGTTTTATTTTGTTGTATTTATCCGCGACACCTTAAAGGCCGGACCATGAAAATATTGTCGGGCATAAACCGGTCCGTGGCGCAAAAAAGGTTGGGGACCGCTGTACTAGGGTATATTAGACTTAATAGTTACTATATACAGTAATGGACTTCTATTCATTTTACATCAAATTAAAACTTTGGGTGTAAGATTCAGATAATTATTTAATAAAAGCTAGACATGTTAAATGAGAATAAGAAAGAAAAGTATGTCTTTTTGGCCCTTTTCCCTGTTAATGCCCTACCTGCCCCCCTGGCTAAACTTTGCTAGATCCGCCCCTGCACAGTTACCAGCCGTCAGCTACATAAAAAAAGGATCCTGGTGTAGAAAGTAATATTAAATAAATTCTAACAACAGCTTATCAAGCTTAAACGTGCTGCTGTTGTTCAGCCGCTGGTTTCCTCTTTCTGGTGCGAAGTGGGCCAAAAACAAAGAAGAGAGACGGACTAGTGACAGAAAAGTTTCACGTTTCAGTTTCACGATTGAAGTAGCAGCAGGAGAGGGAGGGAGAGAAAGGCAGTCGCTCCATATATCGGTTAAGCTTAACGTGGGAATGCTTTACAAACATTCAGAGGTGAACTTACGCACTTGCTTTACTTCTCTCTGGGATCACTTCCTCGGAGATGAAATGCCGGGGTGTTAGCGAAGCTCCAAATGCTCAACCAGACCACCAACAGTTCTCGCGCCACAGCCGTTCAATGACATGATGCATACTGCTCCAACATGCTAGCGTTATGAGGAGAGTTATGGTGTGTCGCAAGTTTTGTGAGGTGCTTTTGTGATATTTAATGGATTGGATTACATTTTTTATTTCTCTCCGATATCCGATCCAGTAATTTAGGTCAGTATCGGACCGATACGTAATATTGGATCAGTCCATCTCTTGTTCAGCCGTGAATTCTTTTTGTACAGATGCAGAGCAGCACATACAGTTGCGTCTTGCAGATTCTAAACTTCCGCACAGTTTTCTCACAGTGTGACAAACCAAAAAAAACAACCAAAAAAACAATCCAGCACACAACCACTGAAAGCTCACACCTACCTGCAGCATGAGAATACAACACCTCGTCTGTGGGTGTGTTTTTTTTTGTCACATTGAGTTTCGCTGTGATAAAAAAATTTCACATCCTCATGAATGTGCCTTTGGTTGTTATTTGGACACCTTGACCTATTTACTTCTTAAAACTATGTTGGTGTATGAGTAATATATAATGAATACATTGGCTAGTATTGCGATGGAGCCAGTGTTTTGATCCTGAATATGACCAGCACGTGGTGCTGCTAACTGAAAAACTAACGCACCACCTCAGTGTAATCGATTTATCCTGTTGACTAGTTCACAAAACCAAGTAGTCTTTAAGTTCCAGAGAGACAACAAAAAGTGTTTGTGACTAGAAAGCAAGTCAACAGATTTGCCTCACTCTATCATTTGAACTATTGAGGTCACCTGAAACAAGATGTGAGTGTGGTTAGAGGCACCTGTGAATTGATCTCAGTACTGCATAGTGGGTGACAGACGGTTGGTGTCATAAACCAGACCCTCTGTTCAAAGATAGTCATTCACAGTGGACATAGATGGCTTCTTCCACTCCTCTTTCAGACTATCTGTCTTCTCTGTCCAAAATGTGAACATTGGCATCCTCGAAAGAGTGACCTTTGTCCTTTAGATGCAGGTGTACTGTCGAGTCTTGTCCTGTCAAGTTGGCTCTTCTATGTTGTGCTTTGAGTTTATGAAGTTGCTGTTGGTTTGGTTTGGTTTCTGGTCAGGTTGTCAACATAGAACAAAAGTGCAACGATGTTTTCGGTGATGCTGCTAGCTCTGCTAACAGTCAGCTGACAGTGTACCGAGCTCACAGTCTCGGTGTTCCAGTCTAACTGGGTTTTTTTTACGTTAACCAGTTAGATATGTTTACATATTCCACTCTCCATGTTCCAGATGCTTAGACAAATGCATAGATGCATCAATATTATCTTCAGACAACAATGAAGGAATAATGATTTTAATTAAAATTTTGCCTTGTCTTGTGTCTCCATGTTTCTGTAAATAACAAGCCAACATTTTCCTCACGGCACCACTGACCAGCTTGATATTCCCTCAGTTTACATGCATACAGTACTTCCTGCTCACCTGTCAGCTGTTAAACACCTGCTGCTGATTCTGGAAACACATCACCTGGTGATAGTTGCAGTTTAACGAGGGCAACTGCTCAATATAACGCAAATTTGTGCACAAATTAAGTAGACCTAAATGTAGTTTGTTTTCTGAGCGCAAAAGTGCTGGAGCTTGTGTTTCTCTTAGAGTGACTGATGTGGGTTAAAGATGACAAACAGGATTTAAAAGGAGGAGATGGACACTACAGAGCACTTTATCAGCGGCTGATATCCGGTTACCAGCACACAGCTTCGCTGAGTTTTAGCAGTCAGTGTCAAGTCAAAATGTATTTCTATAGCAATTAAAATTATATTACAAGGCCAAATGAAAGTCAAACTAATTTGCTTCAGTAGATGTTAAACACTGGACATAATTCATTCAGGTTCTGTTGGGTAACGTTTAGTTCACTTTTTTATTTACAACTGAGAAAATCGGTTTGGCTCAGATTAAAGTTAAGTTTCATTACTGCATAATTTTACTGAAGTTTAATGTCTGACTGGAGCACATTTTGGACTGAACCATTCACTTTTCTTTAACTGGTGTTCATTTTTGTTATTTGTGGATTTTTTAATCGTTTATAATGAGTTGAAAGTACGATAAGTTCTATCTTCCTTTAGCTTGAACTTTTTGTGCGATGGTTTGCATCTTCCCCCGCCTGTTGGGTGCTACCGCAGGTTCCTTTAACGGTAAAAAACATTTCGTCAACATTGTTGTGTTTGTTGGGGAAAAAAACTTACAAACATACAGTACAGCACTTCAGAGTCACACTGCCAGCAATCAAAGATTTATATAAATTTGACAAGCTGAATGCATTTTTTACAGGACAGAAGACACAGAACGGAGGAGATTGATTGACAGTGGTCTACAGCCGATCAGGACACAGAACACAATGCAAACAAACAAACAAAAAAGCATGCAAAATTGCACAAAAAAATCCACGAAACAGCGAGGCCGCAAAAGGTGAACCAGGTTATAGCGAGGGACCACTGTAATTGACTTTTGTCTTTGGTTTTCTATTTGTATTTTTTGCTTGTCTTGATATTACATGTTATATTTTTTTCTACTCTTTTGTCCGTTTTCATAACTTTTTATTGCTCCTGTGACAAGTGAATTTCCCCAAGAGGAATCAATGGAGTTCTTATTTTATCTTATCTGTGTCATGTCTGCGGTGGCAGAGGAATTATAGAAGAATGAGGACCCAAGCTGACTGGAGGATGTTTTGAATGGAAAGCGAGCCTCTGGTCTGGTAAAATGGAGGGCCAGGAGTGACAAAATAAATCAATTAAATACGCCATTAAATAAATAATACATCTTTTATTAATTACTAACATTTGAATGAATGAATTAAATCAATATTTAAATAATTTATTAAATGCCTATTCATTCAATTTAAAACATTTAATCAATTATTTCTTTATTTCAATTTTTATTTAATTAATGACACATTTAATTATTTAATTATGTATTTATTTATTTCATTTTGGCAGTCCTGACCCTGTGGCTTTGTTCTTGAATTAATATTATCTGTCAGCCTCACCCATCAAAGTCAGGAGGCGAGGTTAATGCTGATTGAGTCAAAACCATTGCTTTGGCCTGGTGGCGTTTCTCAACAACAACTATGAACATGTTGAAAATAACTGAACCGTGCTTTGAAATACCCTATTACCCCTTTAAAATTGTTTTAGCTGAAAATGTAGCAGTTTAATCTTCAGATATCTGGTTGGTTTGTCCTATTTCCAAAAGTGCTTCAATGATTTTGGAGATGTCTGCCCAGCCCAGTCACATGGCAAAGCATGTGATAGACCCACTCGCCTATTAAACCGCAGACAACTGCCATACACAACTGGTAGACAACTGTCCTAAAACTCTGCTGACTGTCACCTTGTCATGATCTGCGTGGCAGATCGTCTGGAGGAGGAGGATGAACCCAAACGCAAGCATGGACAATAGCGTAGTTGTGAGAAAATTTATTAACAATGAAAGGCAAAATAAAAACCAAAGCGGAGCATTGCAGGGAACTATGCAAACAAAAACCTAAACTGGGAACAGCTACAAAATAACAATGAAAAGAACAAAAACCTGCAATGAGAAACTTGAAACATGAAAACCTGAGGTGTGAAACCTTGGAACATGGAGAAACACACGGCAGAAATACAGGGGTGGACACACAGACGAACCCGCGACTACAACAACTGGGAGCCTCGACCCAGTGACGAACCTCAAAGTGGTAATCTTGCAATGTCTCCAACCACCGGGCTAGCTGTCCCTCCGGTTCTTTAAAGCTGAGCAGCCAAGTGAGGGACGCATGGTCTGTGCACAGGAGGAACTTCTTCCCGTAGAGCTGGCGATCGTGGCTCAAGAGTTCAGTTATTTTTAACATGTTCGTCTTGTAATCGGAAGGTTGCCAGTTCGAGCCCCGGCTCAGACAGCCTCGGTCGTTGTGTCCTTGGGCAAGACACTTGCCACCTGTTGCCTACTGGTGGTGGTCAGAGGGCCCGGTGGCTCCAGTGTCCGGCAGCCTCGCCTCTGTCAGTGCGCCCCAGGGCGGCTGTGGCTACAATGTAGCTGCCATCACCAGTGTGTGAGTGTGTGTGTGAATGGGTGGATGACTGGATGTGTAAAGCGCTTTGGGGTCCTTAGGGACTAGTAAAGCGCTATACAAATACAGGCCATTTACCATTTACTAATTTAAAGTAACTTACCCAACACTGATGGTTACATGCATTCATTGCTAAGAACTTCGCCACACACTAAGCGTGGGCTCATCTTCTATGCCACTCCAAAAAGAATCCAAACTTGATATAATTCAAATCATATTTCCTCACTGTTTTGTAGTGGTGCAACGGATCAAAACTCTCACGGCTCGGATCGGATCACGGTTTTAAGTCATGGATCAGATCAATTTTCGGATCAGTAAAAAAAAGAAAAAGACAAAAATTGAACATTTACTTTTTTACTTATTGAAGTATGTTTTGCCTGTTAAAAACATTAAACTCTAGGCTCAGTCCACGCAATTATTAAAAAAAAATTATGGTACAATATAGGTCAGTATAGGGCTTTGTATCTACCACTCAATTCAATTCAATTTTATTTATAAACCGCCAAATCACAACAACAGTCGCCTCAAGGTGCTTTATATTGTAAGGTAGACCCTACAATAATACCACTCATTATATCGCACTCCAGTGTGATATAATGAGCGGTCACGGTCACGTAGCTTTCCGTTGACCTGGAGGTCCACCCATTTGTATGGGTTAGGGCAATAGAAGATGCCTGGGACAGTTCAGCCATAACTTAAATCTTTTCCTGCTCATACATGCCTGGAATGATCTTGCCACTAAAGTGGATGCGCAACGGGATATCATAGCATGGCTCAAGCATCTTCATCATAGTTTAAACCCCTTGTTTTGGACAATGGAATACGGCCTCCCATCTGCAGCTAAACACCCCAGTAGCTTTTGTAATAGCTTTAGCCCGGTCGGACTGGGCAGGAAAGGGCTGCTTAAATACCGCAAACTCCTCTGCTCATCCACCTGGATAGCTAGCGCTGGCCATAACTGTCACTTGACAGACCCACCACGTGCACCATACACATACTTTTTTTTCCTTCTTTTTCGAATCTTCGGATCATGTGCGTGCCGAACCGTGGAGTGGGATCGGATCAACCGTAATCCGCTGCACCACTACTGTTTTGCATCATTTGATGCTATCACGTACCATAGAACTTTCACTGGTACTGCAAATGTTACTACTAGCACCTCTGCTGGGTTCATTGTCATCGACTTCAGTTTCTGATGTACAGGTCAAAATATTCACTACAGTTCTCCTTCTGATACTAAAGCCAGGATTGCATCACTTTTGCACCATCATTTTTCATTCCTCCACTTGCCATCACGACTTACATTGTCAACCCTTTTAGCTACCAGTTAGGCTGGCCTAATACGCTTGCCTATTGGCTGATATAAAAATGAATATATCTTTTTAAAAAGACAGGCAGGGCCTAGTTTAAACTCAATTTCCGTTATCTTGCGGTAAAGAATTTATAAAGTATGTACATGTTATGGGGTGGGACAGAAAGAGACTGACTGTGGGGAGTGAGCATGGGAGCCGATCTGAGCTGGTGTAAGCTAAGCAGGCTTGGAGGGCACGGGAGGAGGAAGAATGCTGCTGAATGGAGAAGTTGGTCTAGTGAGCCGCAAGAAGTGGAGGTACACTCTTGGTGGAAAGTAAGACTGATGGTGGATGCATTCCACAGGATAGAGAGATGTCAACCGTTTGTTTGGAACACGGAGCAGCGGCAGGCCGAGCTTGAAGCTCTGCCCTTGCGGGGTAAGTCCTGATCTGATAAAATTGCTCCTTCTGTTTATATGGGCTTCCCCAGATAGCAAGACGACATTGAATTAATGTTGATTTTTCATCCGATCCGTCGTTACGGTCAGGGTTGAAATGCCAATGTTGTAACAACATTGAAATACTGTGGTAAACCGACGGTCTTACTATAGGGACATTGTAATGATGTTGATTTACCGTTGTTTTTTTGTCATTGATATTTGATCTATTTGTAGTCGACCAGGTGGCAACAACAACATCGAGAAAATGTCTATTTATAGTTGACCATCATTCCGCGCCGGTCACCATCAAAAAGCCATTGATTTGTAGTTGAGCGTTAAATTGCATTGCAACTGAGCGGGTATAAAGTACCGGAGAAAGTAGAATTATTGTTCTTTTGTTATCAATGATTTCTGGTCGAGTTCACCAGCTTTAAAAAATCGTGTCGACGTGCAATTTATGTATAGTTGACTGGGAAATTACAGCAGCGATCACTTGGACTATTCCACAGCACCCCTCTCACAGTGGTACATCCCTCCAGGTAACCAAAACTTTAGACTCAGTTCGAATGCTCACGCGGCATGCCCACGTGACTGTACGTTGCATGCTCACCTAACTTTACGTTGCATGCATACATGACTTTCCGACACAGCTTTGCAATCTCCCCAGCATGCAGTCTGATGTCGATGTCTTCCCTATAGATGGTATGCTTTTAAAATAGTTTTAAAGCTGCATCACAATGTCATTGTACTCTTATCTTCAAAACACCAACTCCTGAATGTCATCTTGTTGTGATTTTTTTCCTGTAGATTCCAGAGACTCTGTGAGGCCACTATTACAAGGCAAGTTTGAAAATCTTGGAATTTCACAGTTTACATGGTATAAATGGTAAATGGCCTATATTTGTATAGCGCTTTTACTAGTCTCTAAGGACCCCAAAGCGCTTTACACATTCAGTCATCCACCCAATCACACACACATTCACACACTGGTGATGGCAAGCTACATATACAAATATCAAATATATGTGACAGGCAAAAAATAGTAAACACTTTTAGCAGTTACAACAACTAATATTTGAATGCAGAATGTTACACCATCACTTATGGATATATTCGTTTTTCGCCTCCCACTGCTTAAGCCATTAATCTTTCTAGAATTGTTCTCTGAAACAGATGCGACCTCACAAAAAATGTTAACGATGCTGTCAGACCTGACCAGAGCAGTTAACAAACTCCGTGAGGAGGTCAGAGCCAACCGCCATCCCTGCTGCAATGAATCTGTAGATGCTGGGGTATTGCCTCTGGATTTGCCTTTGCACAACATTGAGGAGCTAAACAATGCAGGGGCAGCCCTTCAATCACCGGAGGCAAATAAGGCAATGGTAAGTATATAAAGGTTATGTACACTTTGTAACTATAAAGTGTAATAGCTATCAGATTTGATTAAAATACATAACATGCCTGTTGATTAAACACACAAGCACTTGCGTACACATTTAAGACATGAGACACGCTAATTCCAGCTCTTAAAATGTGTCTATAGGTGAGGCGCTTTGCCTTGATTGGAGGGACCACACTGGAGGTGCGAGTCTGCCGCACCGCCAAACGAGCTGGCCTCGGTACTCAACTGGGCAGGGAAAAAAAACAAGGACCAGACAGCAAAAAATGGCATTTAAAGAGACAGCGCTGTGCAGATGCATATTTGGTAAGTTTTATCATTTATTGTAGTTTTATGAGCCTAAAGTAAACAATAAAGGGATCAATTGATGTGCTGGGTGTGTTTCACATTTCCTATGTCCGGTTTTTGCTATATTACTTTGTCTTTCTTAATAACAAGACTTTCATGTCCGGTTAATCTGGAGATGGAGTCTTTGGTCTTCGGCTTGTTTTGTCCTCGGGTTGTACAGTTTGTACAGCCCAAGGACCCCATGTTTATTTTTTTTTTAAAGGATTCACGGCACACCATGCCAACACATATCACATTTTCAGCTCATAGCTCTTTGGGAATCAAATGCAGCAGTTTGCTGATTTCTGCCTCGTGACTTTCAAGTTTATCAGCCTAGGAATTTACATACTTTCTCCCTGCTGGGGACAATTAACAAGAGCTTATTCATGTGCTCTAATTCACTTTTTTTGTCTTTTTTTTGTGTGTGTGTCTATTTTTGTCCTAGATGGCCTGACGCAGCAGGTAGGGGCAAACTCTATGTCTGAGTTTGTCTTTGCTCAAGCAGTCCAGAAATGGCTCAGATACACTCCGGATTGTAAAAATTAAAAAGTGACGTGAAACATGGAAATCTTAATAGGAAACTTTGTCTTTTAATAAAATATTTTGCAAATGATACATGTCTATTGACCTTTTTTTGTTTTTTTGTTTTTTTTTTCTCTGTGACATGATGTCTGATGCTTTCTGTTTTTAGAACTGACTATTGACATGATACATTGTGAGACATTATTTAACATATAAAGGGTGTCCAATTTGAGGAATAAGTACAATTATGTGTTTAGGTGGTTTAAATATGATGGAAACATGTAGTAGTTTAGTATTGATTAAAATACCTATAAAGAATGGTAGATTTCCAGTCATGATTTACAGTAACTGCTGTTTCAATAAAAAGCAACTGTGCGAAAGAAGTGGAAAATCAACATCATAGTTCAACAGTGTTTCAATATTAGAATCTGACATTGTTTCAATGTCAACAGTATTAGAAAATATAGCGTCGAATCAATGTCAGCTTTCAACATTGATTCAATATCAAAAACTGACGTTTCAATAACAATAAAGGGTGCAAGTGTAACGTTAGGTCAACGTCACACCTCAACGTTGATTCAATGTTTCCTTGCTATCTGGATCCCTTCTAGTGCACACCCATGACATATACAATTATTTAATCCTAACAAAAAAATATTGGAGACTTCCCACGTACCACCAGACGTAGGTGGTACACGTATTACAATTTGAGAACGACTGCTATAGTAAATGTTGTGTGCTTTAACCTCTCTAGGCCAAGTGTTAAACTGATGCAAAATAAACTGAGCAGCCACAGTGAATCAAGCGAAAAGTCCTTGCCATTTTAGATGAAGTGAAGGAGACTCAACTGGTTCATAGCAAGATGTTAAATGCCTTGCTGAAGTAGAAAAATTGATTTAGTTGCATAATTCCTTGAAGGGGTGGTTTTACCTCTCAAAACCCAAGACGATGTTGAGGCTCTTAATGGAAGACTGGAGGACTGCAGTCTTATCTCTGCTGTATTACGTTTACTCCCCCCCATTCTGTTTGCCAGTGTTCTTTATACAGTAGTCAGAAATAATTCTTTGATATGTTTTTTTCTTTCAGTTTTTGTTTTGCTTCCTGTTATTAAGTTCATGAGAACTAAAGCATGTTTTTTTTTCTAACTGCATGTGTTTTATGAGGTCTTACTATAGATGTGAGGGTTTGTCCTCAGAGAAGCCTTTTGTGTTTCACTTCTGCGTCTTCCTGAATTCACATTCACTCTGTGTGTTCACAAACGGCAGAAAAGCTGCACATTCTTACACTCTGGGTTACAACCTCACTGCATCACCTCTAAAAATTGAAGATGGGGAAAATTAATGGATGTCTCAAGTGCATTTTTGTCTTCTTCAATGTGCTTTTTGCAGTAAGTGGAATCTTTATTTTTTTGTTTTTAGGATTTCATTTTGATGATTGATTTATTGATTTTCGTTATTATTTATGTTGAAGGAAAGAGAGAAACTAAAAGGATTTATTTTTCACAAGTTTATTTAAAAAAAAGAAAATTGTTCACTTCAGTTTTATTTATGTAGCACCAAATCACAAGAACAGTTGCCTCGTGGCACTTTACATTGTAAGGTAAAGACCCAACAATAAGACATACATGCGGAAATGGAAAAACTCTTTTCAGCGTCCTCATATTTTAATCTAACTATGAACCACTGAAGCCTTTTTGTCTTTTACCTTACTGGTGAAGCAGTGCTGCAAGATATAATGATTAAAAGACTGGGCAGTTAGAAGAAGCTGTTTTTCCATAATTTAGAACAAATAAATAAAGATTTATTTTTAATGCTTAGCACACATATTTCCTACTATGTTTTATTAAAATTACATTTACATTGCTTCTAGCAATGAGCACTCTGAGAATTTTTTTCTTCTTAAGCATATATTCTAAAGTAAAACACTGAGTGCAAAAGTATACATACATACATACATATATATACATACATATATACATATATATATACACACACACACACACACACACACACACACACACATATATATATGTATATATATATTAGGGGTGCAACGATACACAAAATTCACAGTTCGGTTCGGTTCGATACTTTGGTGTCACAGTTCGATATTTTTTCGATACAAAAAAATGTTCATGCCTTTTTTAATTTGTAATTTATTAAGATTATAAATATTTATTTTAACTCAAAAATACAGTTTTTAAATGAAATGTTGCTGAAACAACAAAATAATAAAAGAATAAAAGAGT